TCATATTATTTCTGATAATCATCATGACACATACGACCCTCCACATACATCAGCCAGAGTAAGGTGCGAAACCCCAGTAAAAGGCAGTTTTGACCCCCACATTTACATAGATGCCATTGGGGTGCCTAGGGGGGTGCCTAATGAATTTAAAGCTAGAGATGAAGTAGCTGCAGGTTTTGAATCACTTTTTACCATAGTCACTGCCAACAAAAACCTTAATTGGATTAATTATATCTATTACAACCAACAGCGCTTCGTGAACTATACCAGGGATGCCCTCCAGGGCTTGGCCGAGCAATTACAGGCCACATCCCAAATGACCTTCCAGAACAGACTGGCCTTAGACATGATCTTAGCCGAAAAAAGGGGAGTCTGTAAAATACTTCCCGACACTATGACTTGTTGCACTTACATTCCAGAAAACACAGGTCCTAATGGTAAAGTCACTCTGGCCATAGCTAAATTAAATAGACTCTCAGAAGAGTTAAAGAGAAACTCTGGAGTTACTGATCCCTGGGAAAAATGGTTTGGTTGGATGACTGGTTGGCAGAGAGCTTTAGTCCAGATTGGTATTGCCTTACTAATTTTTCTTTTTATTCTCGCTCTTCTCATTTGTTGTGTCCTCCCATGCCTAAGGAAATTCCTGCAGAAAACTGTGGACCAAGCAACACCAACCTTCACTCATCTGACAATCGATGATCAAGACCTCATCTCACCCTGTATTCCGCTACAAACTCTCCCTTATACTGATGAAGTGCAGAAAGTCTAGGAAGGGACAGTACAGGGACAGCGTCCGTCTTTATGGGTAGACTGCCGTACGGAGAAGTAGTGGATAAGCCACTATGGGTTACCAGTGGAGTGAAGAGTGTTCCTGAACCGTACTGACGGATGTGCTGCAGCCTGTTAGGGTCAAGAGAGGGATAGACTTGCACTTTGCATTAACACTAAGTCAGCGGTCATGGGGTTTCTGTGTCTTTAGGCTAATACTTCTTCTGATACTAACAAATAAAGTTTTGTCTTTTAGCAAATAACATTTTAGGGGGGACTGTTGTAGAATTATTAGGCCTCTATAAATCTGTAAGACCCCTTTAAATCCTCTTGCTATACCTCTAAGAGGCCCCCATAGTTTTACAAGGAAGCTTTGTCTATAGAACATAGAATTTGCATGTCAGCAAGAAATAGCTTTGATAAAATGTGTATTTACTAAAATCCTTGAAACTTAACCTTGAGAAACTAACAAGTGCCAGCTACGCTCCAAATGGATAGCTGCCAAAAGGCCCCTCCCGTCGAGTGAGCTCCTCATTTTAACAAAATGGCGCTAAGACCTGTAGGAGTTAAGAAATTACGTAGATAGTGACCTAAGAATGGGGAGGGCATTTTACTAACATCTTAGCACCTAAGCCAATTAACAATGTCTATTTGTCTATATCTTGATTTTCTTCAATGATGTAATAATGCCTTTATAAGGGTCTGCGCACCCATTTTCTGCCAGAAGCCATTAAACTTCTCTGAAGTTCTTTCATTACCCTGAACCTTGTGTCTCAGTGTGAATTTACTTCTGCGTGCACGCAACTTTATTATCTTTAATTTGGACAGGAACAGATAGTCATTCAAACTAATTGGTTTGCAGTAAATTATATACGACACTATCAGTGAAAATGTAGTACATTTTGGAATCTACAGAAAATGCGTCTAAACTTTCATTCATTACCCCTTTTCTCCACAGATGTTGTTTTCCTTTTCCCTTTGCATTTTGGCCACCGTTGGAGCATTTGCCAGCTTGATATATATCACTGTTGTCCTGAACAAAGGTCCTCATTGCTTGTACAAACTGAGCCAGAATACCGAGGAGAAATGGGGATTTCCTTTTGCAAATATAAGCATTAAAGACCGGTATGGATTGCAGACATGTTACCCTATATAACACAATAAAATAATTCAGTGGAACAATAGCTAGTCTTTGACATTGTAGTTTTTGTGGACCATGGTCCCAATGATACTCAACCTGTAGCACAGAAGCTTATGCACATGGCACTCATGAGCTGGTTAAATATTCAGATTGTGCTCCCAGCTTGATTGGGTATAAAATATAAGCAGATGTTTACAGAAAGTAAATAAAGAATGCAATGCATATGGCCATAAATCTTATTGATAATAAATAACTATATTTGATTTGTACCAGCAGGTACCAGGAAAATCCTAATATTATCCAGGTAAAGTAAGCGACACAGAACTCCCCTCTCTCTGCAGGGGTAAACAACAGTGGCAACATTCCGACAAATTAGATGAGTGCAGAGCTTTACCCATTTAGAAATACATAAAATTAAAGCTGTCACATTATTTATGTGTAGACCAAAAGCTAAGTAAACGTTACAGGTGGCTTATAGATTTTTCATGACCTTTTTATATAATATGCCAGGCTGTTCAGGAACATCCTGAGTATGCAATTTATATTTCTTCAATCCTAGTGGTGCCATACAGCTATATGGGAACAATGGCGAGCATGCGTACACTTATATGTACTTTCCAAGCAGATGGCTATGCACACATGAGTACACCCAGGGTACTGCTAGTGAAAGAGAAGTGACAGTACCTCTTTACGGTTAGGATTAGGGGATATTTATGGAACTTGGGCGACTTTGTAAATAATATGGGGAGTTATAGGTTTCCTTCCAACTGTTGTCCATTTCCAAAGCTCCCAGTCTGCTGTGCCCCATAGAAAGGCAAAATGATTGAATCTACCATGTTATGTAGTATGGCAGCTGATGTAAGTTAGAAAATAGCAGAAACATTAATTGTGTTGCAAAGGATATTTGGTATGCTGGGCAATTTTTGTTAATCCTTGATTTTTTTGGTTGGAGTAACCCTTTAAATATACACTAACAGGGTTATTCGTTAAAGTGAGAATTGTTAGGAAATATAAAGTGAATATTACATTTGAGACCAAAATAGCCAAACCGGAAAAATGAAATGCAATTCCATCAGAATTCCCAATAATTCTCACTTTAGTAAATGACCCACACAAAAATTGGTCGCTCTGTTTATTTTAGTAAGTTTAAATGAGGATTCACATAAATAAAATAATCCTTTGAGATTCTTGGTCCATATTCACTGGTAATTTAATTATTATTGATCTGATACTAACGGAAATTGAACAAGGCATTTTAAATACCTAAATATTTATCTGCATACATTTATTGTTAAATATTTTATATGACTATAGAGCAACATGTGTAAGATAATCCATGGTTATTAACTATTTTTAATTTTTTTGAACTTTGGTACAGCAACGCTGATCTATTTGACATCGACTCCTGGTACTCTATTTGCATTGAACCACTAAACATCGTACCCTGGTTTACCTGCATTGTCATGAGCTTATTTATAACAAATTTGATAGAGACCTTTCTGTGCTTCTCCCAGGTGATAAACGCATGTTTTGGAATGTGTTGTGGACTATGCGACAAAAAAAAAGTTAGTTGATTATTTTAGATGTTTTAGTATGTTTTCAAATACCATTGAATTGTGTATAGCTTCCATTTCTCATGTTCCTTCACTTATTTATCCATTCCATGGTGGCCTTTCAGAAATGAGATATCTGCTTTTGATAGTACAGCTCTCCTACTGCCATGTTTTTTATGTTCCTCTACTATTTCAGTGACCAACGATGACAATAATATGATGTCTTTTTCTAGTTACCTTTATTACCCTCTGGTGTGATTTGATAAAGAAGCTGAGATGAAACATATGTGCTACCGCCCTCTAAACCAGGCTTCCCCAAACTCCGGCCCTCCAGATGTTGCTGAACTACAACTCCCATGATTGTCAGCCTATCTATTTCATTCATGGAATCATGTGAGTTGTTGTTCAGCAACATCTGGAGGGACAGAGTTTGGGGAAGCCTGCAAACCAACTGGAGGTGTATTGGTGCTGGCACTGTAACCCAATGCCTTTTGGTGCTTCTTTTTCTATTATACTTCATCTTAATTATTTTATATTATTTAGTGAATTTGTGTCCACTCATTCTTTAGTGAATATACCTTGTGTTAACAAGTAGCTGTCTTGCATAGTCATTCATAGAATGTAACATGTGGGGTCCCTGATCTCAGTATATCTTTATTGTTAATGGGGCTCATGATGAGGTTCCACTCAGTTTTTCTCTCTCCAACCACCAGTAGTTCCATATTTCCATTTCTCCTCTTCCATACCTGATCTCTAGCTCTATTCACAAACATATTTGCAGCCCAATCCTCACCCCCTATACAGTACTACTTATCACCTCTGCAGTGGCGTACACATGACCCATGGGGCCCCGGTGCAAAAATTGATCCGTGGGCCCCCCCCCCCGCGCTTACATGGCGCGGGTCGGGGTCGCAACACATGGTGGCGGGCACCTGGTCGCAGGGGTTGCAGGGCTGCGACCCCGCGACCGCGGTATGCACACACACTTAAAGGACCACTACAGACACCCAGATCACATCAGCTCAATGAAGTGGTTCGGGTGCCAGGTCCCTCTAGTTTTAACCCTGCAGCTGAAAACATAGCCGTTTCAGAGAAATGGCTATGTTTCACTGAGGGTTAATCCAGCCTCTGGTGGCTGTCTCATTGACAGCTGCTAGAGGAGCTTCCGCGATTCTCACTGTGAAAATCACAGTGAGAAGACACTGAACGTCCATAGGAAAGCATTGAGCAATGCTTTCCTATGGGCGGTTTAAATGCACGCGCGGCTCTTGCCGCGCATGTGCATTTCGGAGCTGAGAGGCGGACACTGGGGAGTCCGACGCTGGAGAAAGGTAAATGCTGAAGACACACACTCTCACGAACAGACGCATGCACACTAGCTAACAGACACACACATTTACTGACAGAGACACACTCAGTGACAGACATACATACACACTCACAAAACATACACTTTCACTGACAAATACACACTCACTAACAGACATCAAACACACTCAGTAACAGACACACACAGTAACATACTCACTAGCAGACAAACACCCAATAACAGACACACTCACTGACACACACACACACACTAACACACACACTAACACACACACTAACACAAACACACACACATTTTTTTTTCAAATTTAATCCCCCCAGCCTCCTTACCTTTTGGAGTGCTGGGGGGATTCCCTGGGGTCCAGTGGTGGTGGTGCTGCTGGGCTCCTGGGCGGCCGGTCACTGGGTGGGTGGGTGGGCGGGCTGGCTGGCTGGCTGCCTGGGCGGCCGGCGCGCGAGGGAGCACTTTCCCCTGTGTGCTTCCTCTTCAGCTCCCTCGCGCGCCGCGCAGGGATGCCGGCGCCGGAAGATGACGTCATCTTCCGGCTCCGGCATCAGTGCGGTGCGCGAGAGAGCTGAAGAGGAAGCACTGAGTGCTCCCTCGCGCGCCCGCCTGCCTGCCTGCCCGACCGACCGGCCACCCGCCTGCCAGGTATCAGCAGGGCCAGCCTCGGGGGGGCCCTGGGGTGGTCGGCTCCTGGGCCCCCCAGGGGAAGAGGCTGGCCCTGTGGCTACATACCGGGTCGCAGGGGCGGCCGGGCCCCCTGGTATGTACGCCACTGCACCTCTGTACCCTGCAGCAGAGTCCAACTTTATCTATTCCCCCCTGCAATTGCCTGCCTCTTGAGTTCACCTCCACTAAACTAAATAACCAGGAAGTAACAGGAGCGCTTGTCTGACTGACAGTCATTGTTATGTAACAAGGTTAAAGGAACACTATGGCATTAGTAATACAAACCTGTATTTCTAATGCTAAAGTCTGCTAGTTGCAGATTAGGTTTAGGTGCCCCCTTTCCCCTTCTCAGTTAAAAAAATAAAAACATTTTTTTACGTATCTTTTCTCCAGTGCGAGGCTCCCTCAGCACTATTGCCCACTCCTCCTTCCACAGCCAATCCAATGCTCCTCTTAGTTGAGCATTGGAAACAGCTTGCACATCCAAAAGCTTCTCATAGAATGATGGAGTGATGGAGTTTTATTCGGGTGTTGTAGAGGAAGCGTCTCTAATGCTGTCTGGAAGACACCCACTAGCGTTGTGTTTAACCTTGCAATTTTAACAACAAAATGACAAGACCACTGCACCCAGACCACTTTATTAAAATTAAGTGATCTGGGTTACTTTAGTGGTCCTTTAATTAATAAAAGTGCCAATTTCTATAGAATCTGCACTTTTTGTAAAATTAAAAAAAAAACCTTCAGTAGCTCACCTAATTCCAGCGCCGGGCTCCCTTACCTCTCATCCCCCGCCGACGTCAGCATCCTCGTCCGACGTCACAGGAGCCGAATGCGCATGCGCGGCACTTCCGCGCGCGCATTCAAAGTGTCTGTAGGAAAGCATTTTTCAATGCTAGAGGCTGGCTTAACCCCAAATGTAAACATAGCAGTTTTTCTGAAACTGCTATGTTTGCATTTGAAGGGTTAAACCTGAGGGACCTGGCACCCAGACCACTTCATTGAACTGAAGTGGTCTGGGTGACTATAGTGTCCCTTTAAAGTGGATCTGTCACTTTAGGGGTTTCTTTGCATATATTTTGCAAACACCTTCAAAAGTGGCATATTAGGTGTGGGTCTGGTGGCCTCGGGGTACCGGGGAAGGCAAGTTTTACTTACCTCAAGCTCTCCCTCGCGGCTGCCACCATATTTGTCCTGCAGGTTCTCTTCCAGGAGCCGTATCAGTGGTCTTCTCGGATGTCTAACACTGAGGTCTGTGGAGGATCCCACCAGCCCGTGGGAGCTTCCATAGACAATGCCTGAATCCCACAGTCGTTGCATGTGACGGCTGGTTGGATTGGACAAAAGTTGTCGGAGGAGTCATGATCAAGATTTCATAAAGGATATATCTTATTTATGATCATTATCAAGTCCAAAGGCCAACTTATTATGTGTTATTTAGCCTCTCTGTGCACTCTCTTATTAGTTCATGAAAGGAAGCTAGAGGTAGCATTTAACCATTATGCATGTGACCTTTGTACTAGCCACCTCTTAATTTCTATAGCATAGCATAACCCTACAGATTATCTCCAACCTGTCCTGTTGCACCTCTGGAGTCAAGGTAGCTTCATATAAACGGATTGACATTGATTTAAAGGTTTACATTCCTAATTAGATATACTGAATTTTATATCACTTAAAATGATGTTGAAATGGTAGGAGCCAACTCCAGTAATGCACCAATGCAGAGATCCATGGGCGTCCACAGAGGGGGGACACTTGCTCCCCCCCCCCCTGGATTTTTCAGCTTGTTCTGCAAATTTTCGTGTGAGATTGAAAATACAGTGCAATACCGGAGCCGGCCAGTAGGTGGCGCTGTGTATGGAGAGACAGGAAGCTGCATCTTATCCCTGAATCTGCAGGGGAGCAACACATACAGCCAGCAGAGACAGCCTACAGATCAGGTAAGTGAGGCATATGGGAGGCAGAGATAGCCCACAGATCAAGGAAGTGAGGCACATGGGGGGTAGAGATAGCCCACAGATCAGGGAAGTGAGGCACATGCGGGGCAGAGATAGCCTACATATCAGGGAAGTGAGTCATGGGGGGCAGAGATAGCCTACAGATCATGGGCGTAAGGCACGGGGGGCAGAGATAGCCACAGATCATAGGGAAGTGAGGCATGGGGGCAGAGATAGCCTACAGATCAGGGAAGTGAGGCATATGGGGGGTAATATATAACCCACAGATCAGGGAAGTGAGGCACATGGGGGGGCAGAGATAGCCTACAGATCAGGGAAGTGAAGCACATGGGGGGCAGAGACAGCCTACAGATCAGGGAAGTGAGGCACATGGGGGGCAGAGATAGCCTACAGATCAGGGAAGTGAAGCACATGGGGGGCAGAGACAGCCTACAGATCAGGGAAGTGAGGCATGGGGGGCAGAGATAGCCTACAGATCAGGGAAGTGAAGCACATGGGGGGCAGAGATAGCCTACAGATCAGGGAAGTGAAGCATATGGGGGGCAGAGATAGCCTACAGGTCAGGGAAGTGAGGCACATGAGGGGCAGAGATAGCCTACAGGTCAGGGAAGTGAAGCATATGGGGGGCAGAGATAGCCTACAGGTCAGGAAGTGAAGACATGGGGGGCAGAGATAGCCTATAGATCAGGGAAGTGAGGCACATGGGGGGGGGGGAGGAGACAGCCTACAGGAAGGGTCAGCAAGGACCAGGAAAATAAAGTAAGAGAAGAAAGGAGGAAGAAATAGAAATGAGCAGGAAGGGGCAGCAAGGAGTAGGAAGGGACAGCAAGGAGCACAACAGATAAAGTTGGAGAAGGAGCACAAAGTAACACAAATGAGCAGGAAGGGTCTGCAAGGAGCACGAAGGGTCAACAAGGAGAAGGGTCAGCAAGGAGCTGGAAGGTAAAGCAGCACAAAGGTAAAGTAGAAGGAGCAGAAAAGGTCAGCAAGGAGCTGAAAATGTCAGCAAGGAGCACAAAGGTGAAGTAGGAGAAGGAACAGAAATGAGCAGGAAGGGTCTGCAAGGAGTAGCAAGGAGTAGGAAGGGTCTGCAAGGAGAAGGAAGGGTCTGCAGAAGGAGCAGAAATGGACAGAAGGAGCACAAAGGTAAAGGAGCTGAAAGAATCAGAAGGAGCACAAAGGTAAAGTAGGAGAAGGAGCAGAAAAGGGTAAAAAGGAGCAGAAAGGGACAGCAAGGAGCACAAAGGTAAAGTAGGAGAAGGAACAGAAAGGGTCTGCAAGGAGCAGAAAGGCATCAGATAGAGAAAGGATCAGACGGGGGAGCACAATAAACAGAAAGGTAAAGGAGCAGAAGGAGCCAAGGTGGAGAGAAGACAGTGTCAGAAGAAAAAGAAGACTGTGTCAAACGAAGGAGAAGAAAAGGAGATTGGAGCAGGAAGGTAAGTAAAGTGAACCCTCCACTTTATTCTGCACACCACATCATAAGGCTTTGGTACCTGGGCCTGGCAGGGAAACTTTGGACCTTCTCATCTCCCCAGGTAAAAAAAAAAATATCAGTGTTAATGTGTTCACTTTTATTTACTGAGTGTCAGGAAGCACAGAGGGCCGCTGGGGAGGGGTGTCGCTGATTGGTTAGAGCGGTCAGCTGGCACTCTAAGCCAATCAGTAGCTCCCCATTCATAAAAAAGTAAAACATTTTTATGAACCGGGAACTAGCGATTGGCTTAGAGCGTCAGCTGACCACTCTAGCCAATCAGCGGCACCCATGCCTGATGTCAATCTGCACTTCCTGACACTCCGTTTCAGAAGCCGAATACCACTGAGCAACCTGGAAATCTGGAGCTGGAGGAAGCCTTTGGGGTTAAACCATTTGAGAGTGGTTTCACTCCTTAAAGGAAAGAGAGCACCCAGGGGCTTTCTGGCATCATAGCATTTTTATTTAGATGACGTTATTATGGTGACCAGAATGTTCCTTTAATTTGCTTAAAGGAACACTATAGTGTCCGGAATACAAACATGTATTCCTGACACCATAGTTGTGAAAACGCTATTCACCCTGGCTTTATGTGATAATGACTATGCTCCTCCCCTTCATGACACTGTCAAAAAGGGACCAAGCATGGATGTCATTACAATTATGCCCCCACCTGGAAAAATTCCTGCGGACGCCCATGCAGAGATCCCCATGTTTTTATAATGATGAACTATGAGGTCTACGAATACATGGCATTTCAGCTGTAAATACAAGTATTGAATAATGATAGAAACATAGCTTATGATAGCAGATAACTACCTGACCCATCTAGACGATCCATTGTGAAATCTCAAACTAGCATTTCTTATTTATTTTCAGGTTAACTTTATATAAATCACAAACATTCTTAATTCTCTTATGTTTAAACCTTCACTACGTATGCTCTAAAGTTATTCAAGGTATCCGTGCTCTACAATGTCCTCACATTGTCCCTCTCTTATACACACTCCCACTTATGGTCCCTCTTTTGTTCTTCTAATTAGGGGTCGACCGATATTGATTTTTTAGAGCCGATACCGATACCGATAATCTGTGAACTTTCAGGCCGATAGCCGATAACTTGCCGATATTCTGAACATTTACCATTTTGAAAAAATAAACTAATTCTAAAAGTAAATGCACAAAATATACATGCCACGTGTAGTGGATGAAGTGTGTTTAGACAGGGGAGCTGTGTGTGTTTGTGTAGTGTGTATAGTGAATGCAGTGAGTGTTTGTGCAGTGTGTGTATATATAGTGAATGCAGTGAGTGTTTGTGTAGTGTATATATATATATATAGTGAATGCAGAGTGTGTGTGTGTTTGTGTAGTGTGTATCGTGAGTGCAGTGAGTGTTTGTGTAGTGTGTATAGTGAATGCAGTGTATGTGTTTGTATAGTGCGTATATATAGTGAATGCAGAGTGTGTTTGTGTAGTGTGTATAGTGAATGCAGTGAGTATTTGTGTAGTGTGTATAGTGAATGCAGAATGTGTGTTTGTGTAGTGTGTATAGTAAATGCAGAGTGTGTGTTTGTGTAGTGTGTATAGCGAATGCAGTGTGTGTAGTGTGGGTAAAGTGAATGCATTGTGTGTGTATATAATGCAGTGTGTGTTTGTGTAGTGTGTATATAATGCAGTGTGTGTGTTTGTGTGTTGGGTGTGTGTATATAATGCAGTGTGTGTGTGTTTGTGTGTTGGGTGTGTGTATATAATGCAGTGTGTGTGTGTGTTGTGTGTGTGTATATAATGCAGTGTGTAGTGTGTGTATATAATGCAGTGTGTGTTTGTGTAGTGTGTGTGTATATAATGCAGTGTGTGTGTGGGTTTGTGTAGTGATGTAATTTGTGTAAAATGGGGGGGGGCATTTTTTTTGTAATTTTTAAAAAAAAAAATTTTTTTAATATTTAAATTTTTTTTGTTTGTTTGTTTAGTCCCCCCTCCCTGTATTCCCTGGTGGTCCGGTGGCTTGTTAAGTACTGGGGGTGACCGCAGGAAGCTGTTTCTTACCTTTCATGCAGCTCCTCCAGCTCCGCAGTGCAAATCTCGCGGCCCTTAGTGCCGCACGAGCATTGCCATGGTAACCAGTGGCAACGCTCTGCGGCTGCGGGTCTCGCAAGATTTGCACTGCAGAGCTGGAGGAGCTGCAAGAAAGGTAAGAAATAGTGAATGCAGTGTATGTGTTTGTATAGTGCGTATATATAGTAATGAGCCTGGCGGTCCTAGGAGGTATTATCGGCAATATCGGTATCTATATTGGCCAATACTGATATTGCCGAAAATACCGAATATCGGCCGATAATATCAGTAAAACCGATAATCGGTCGATCCCTACTTCTAATACTGTTTTTATTTACAATGTTTCCTTCACCAACTATATTTAATATATTAATGCATTTGCCTAGTTTTGTCATGTTTACTGTTTCATTTCTCTTTTCCAAGGTGCATTTATTACGTTACAACGCCATCATTGGCCATTAATACGTGTTTCTGAAGATGACTCAAGTAATTTTTCACTGACACATGGAAGACTGATTTTGACTATTCCGTATAAAGGAAGCACAATAATATTACACCTGATAGACAAATCTTTTTGCGTTCTGGAGAAGGAAAATGGGGCTTGGAAGTATACTTTGGATCTTGTCAGAGACATGATGGTGATTGATATTTTTGATAGGGTGGTATGAGTCCATTTTCATAGAGGCATTAAAATGCAATGGCTGTTGATGAATCAGTTGTACCAAATTCCCAACATCCACGCTCTACATATTACAGATTCAGACAGACGTTGAACTCTTCATAAATAACCTAATAACTTTCCCAGCTGACAGCATTCTAATGGTATGCATTTAGGTAAACTTACAGATTTTTAAATGTCATTTGAAATGTTTGTTATACGTGTGTAATATCCAGGTAGATGTTTGAAGAAGTTGGTCTGACGTGTGAAGAGCCTCAGCATTTGGATAGATTTTAACTCTACAATTGTTGGTGATTTAAATAATTGAAGAGCATGGCTGCCAACAAAACAACCCTCCTTCACATTAAATTATCATCAAGGCAGAGGAACTATTATTTTACTTGGACAAAAATAAACATTTTCACACTTTTTACGTTTGTTGGAGTATCTATGTTTTTTTTCACAAGCTTTTTCATTTTCTGTCACTGTACAGTTATTAAATTCAGATGAAATATATTTCTATCAAATTTTGAATGCAATATAAGTGGCCATGTCACTTGATGGGTTTATCTATTGATTCTTATCCCGTTGCCCTGATTCAAGTAATTTGCAATCGAAAATCATCTTCCTCATTCGCCAACATCACTCACTACACAGCCTGCAGATTTGAGATGGACTCCTCCAACTTTTGCCAGCATCAATGATGAGAAAGCCATTTGTGTTATGTTATAATCAAGGAATTCCAAAGGAAGCGCTACAGTCAATATGTAAGTTTGAAATAATTCAAGAAGGAAGACTATGAAAGACATCAAAATATTTTTATATTTAGTATGTGTCGACTTTTACTTTTACTTACATACACGAAAGCAGGAGGCAGACCACTACCCCTGAACTCTAATTGCGTCACGTCTCCCAGGCAACAGGAGACGCCTGGGAGACATGCACGATCATTTCACGCCACCGGACTGTGTGACAGGAACCTAATTAGTGCTGAATAGCTCCCATGGCAACCCCAAGTAATTGACAGCCCGATACACCAATATGGAGTTATGGAGGCTTGTCAAGTAGGTTTGCCTTTTGTCTGGCACCCTGTTTAAACATAGAATAGCTGAGCTTTCATTGCTCAGTTGTTTTGTGCTACTTACCTGCTCTTACCTGTGTTCCTGATCTCCTGAATTCCTGTTTTACCTGACCATTGCTGAACCTCTGCTGCCTGGATATTTGATCATTGGATTGCCTAGTCTTGTTTCTGTCCTGCCCCTATTGAATTTGTTTGCCTCAGACTTTTGTTTATTAAGTGGTCTTGCATAGCAAGACCACTTAATGTTATGTCACATATATATTATTATTATTATATTCAAATTTACCACCCTAACTCCTCCCACAGTTATTATACCTGCTAATGTTTTTATAAATGTATGTTTTAATATAACTGTGAAGCACTTTGGGCAACAACGTTGCAATTAAATGTGCTATATAAATAAATAATAAGTTACTCCGCCCACTCCAGTTGTAGACTACTGGTGGAGGCAAGAACTCTTCACAAAATTTCACCAGAAATTTACCACCCTAACTCCTCCCACAGTTTTTACACTACATAGACAGTAATATACCAAAACGTGCAGATTGTTCCCGATTGGATTGGTATTACTTTGTTGAACGTTTCGCCGAATGATTCACGGAATATCGTCATTCTTGTGGCGAAATTGGTCCCAAAGGAATGAATGGCAAAATGTTCAAAACTAGAGTGGGAGCTGGCAAAAGCTGAAAAATCAGGACATGATTTCTAAACTGCCACCACTCCCTCATTTTCAGCTATCCCTGCTGCCACTAAAAATGTCCACGGCTAAGCATAGTCCTGATAGTTTTCACAATATGATCATTTGTTTGCAACTCACGCCATCCATTGACATTCATTGAAACTCCACTCTACAAAGCTCAAATTTGAAGGGCAATTTCTAAACTGCGACTGTGCCTTCATTTCTAATATTTCAGAGACATACTATGCATCAAAATGTAGGGCTGGGTCTTGTGATTCTCACAATATAAAGCTCTTCGCTGTAGGATTTATAGTTTTTAAAATACGACCGTTTGAAGATGGCAACCGCCAAAATACTCTGACCTGTGCCAGGCTGGAGCAGCAAGTGATGTCATAGACAGGGCCTTTTGTACACCTGCTAATATTTTATAAATGTATGTTTTAATGTAACTGTGAAGCACTTTGGGCAAACTCTTCAATCGCTCGGTCTCTGTGACTCTGTCCTCTCTTGGTTTTCCTCCTATCTCTCCCAATGCTCATTCAGTGTCTCCTTTCCCAAGCATACCTCCTCCCCTCGTCCTGTCTCGGTTGGAGTTCCCCAAGGCTCTGTCCTTGGTCCCCTTCCATTTTCTCTTTATACTGCCTCTCTTGGCAAGCTTATTGCCTCTTTTGGATTCAACTACCACCTGTACGCTGATGACACTCAGATATACCTCTCCTCCCTGGACCTCTCCCCTGCCGTCCTGCAACTGGTCACTGCTTGCCTTTCTTCCATCTCTGACTGTCCTCACGCTTTCTGAAACTCAATCTCTCTAAAACTGAACTCCTTGTCTTTCATCCTCCTAATACTGATCCTCCTCTCTCGCTCTCCCTTCAAGTCAGTGATATCCACATAAGTCCATCCTTGCAAGCACGCTGTCTTGGCGTCATACTTGACTCTGGCCTCACCTTTGAGCCTCACATCCAGTTTGTTGCCAAATCCTGTAGGTTCCAACTCAAAAACATAGCCCGCATCCGCCCCTTTCTTAAGTAAGATGTAACCAAAGAGCTTGTCCATGCTCTAATAATTTCCTGCATGGATTACTGTAACCCTCTCCTGATTGGCCTCACCAAAAGCCGCATTGCCCCGCTACAGTCTGTAATGAATGCTGCAGATAGACTGATTTTCCTCTCTAGTCGGTCCTCTCACACATAACCCCTCTGCCAGTCCTTACATTGGCTCCCTGTATCCTATAGGAGTCAATTCAAAGTGCTAACCCATACATTTAAAGCACTGAACAATTCTAGCCCCTCTTATATCTCCTCAATGATCCATAGGTATGCCCCTCCTCGTTCCCTCCGCTCTGCCCGTGACCACCTCCTGACCGCTGCTCGCACCCGTACAGCCAACTCGCGCTTGCAGGACCTCTCACGGGTGGCTCCTTTCCTATGGGATAGCCTGCCTACCGCCATCAGACTCTCCCCTAGTCTTAAATCATTTAAGAAGAGCCTTAAGACCCATCTCTTCAGGAAAGCTTATGGCCTCCCAGAGTAATCTCTACCTTACATACCTGTCTCTTGCTCTCTCCTATAGGGCAGCACTCTACCCCCTCCTCCAGGTCTGCTTCACTCCCACCCTATTTGATATTTCCTGTCCTAACGTGTAGACTGTAAGCTTGTTTGAGCAGTGTCCTCTTCAACCTAGCGTTCCTGTAAGTTTTCTTGTAATTGTCCTATTTATAGTTAAATCCCCCCTCCCATAATATTGTAAAGCGCCACGGAATCTGTTGGCGCTATATAAATGGCAATAATAAAAATAATATACAAAGGATTATGTCTTACACACTGCCCTGATATATACCCTTGCACAGGGCAATTCAAATAACATTGTGTACACACTGGGGCCTATATATTGCCCTGTGCATGGGGTATATATCAGGGCAATGTGTGCGGAGTCACCTTGTGTAAATACTGGTGACATATATTGCCCTGGGAAGGGGTATATATCAGTCGTATCTATAAATAATAATACACTCTTCAAATGTACTTTTAAAATGCATGGTTATCATTTTGTGAACAAGAATATAGTTTTATAAGATGGGGCTTTTATTTCCAGGGCTGGTCTTTATTCACAGTCCGGCACTAATATGGTAAAAAAGAGAAAATCCAGCGCAATCCCCATCCACTAAACATCAACTTCGATGCTGACAGATTTTTTTAGTTTTTTTAAAAAACCTAAACTAGGCCAAAAATTATGGGTTTAGTTTTTTTTTTTTTTTAAACACTTAATCTAGGCTTTATTTTTTGCCTAGATTAGGTGTTTTTTAAAAACAAACAAAAAAAATCTGTTAGTACCGAAGTTGCTGTTTAGTGGATAAGGGAGTGCGCTGGCTTTTCTCTTTTTCATTGTATAAATTGGCTCCCAGTAGCACCCTATTTATGCATGTTCAGGTGAGTGCAGCCAGCCCCCTGGTTTTGGCACTAATATGGTGTGATGTCCTCTGTGTTATGCTCGTAAAAACGTGTGATGTGCCTGTGTTAGTCTTGCAATACGGTGACAAGCATTCCACTGGCACATCACCATCATCACCAAAGTGTAAATAGATGATAACAGATTCATTAGAGCAGTGGTTCCCAATCCAGTCCTCGTGGCCAATGGAGATACTAACAAAACCTGGACTGTTGGTGGGTCTTGAAGACTGGTTTGGGAAATGCAGCTTTAGAGCAAACCCTATCATTGGCATTATTGGGAAAACATTGTATAAGAAGATTTGAGATTTCATGTGCACTAGCTGATGGAGTAGTGGTTTCAAATAGAGAGGGGGGGCTTTGAGTGACTGGCTGGCAGGGCTCTCTTCCTAAGAAACCTCAGGAACTTTCAATTCCTCTTTATTCACTTTTTATGGGACATTGAGGATGAGGAAACAAAATATAATGCCAGATTTATTTCTTTAGCTTCCCTTTACAAGGTGGAAAACTTTGGGGGTGAGGGGGTGACGATATGGTTCCTCGCCAAGGGCGCTGGAGACCCTAGGTACGCCTCTGCTCCAATGGTTTAACTATTTACAAATCCTTCTTGGACTGTTCCTTTAACCCCTTAAGGACCAAACTTCTGGAATAAAAGGGACTCATGACGTCACACATGTCATGTGTCCT